AGATATATTTATAAGAATGACGAAAATGGAGAAAAAAAATACCATTTATTTTATTTCGACTATAAAAAATTTCATATCAAAAAAAATATCTTTAGTTATGACTTCTTCTCTTTATCACAAGCATATGTATTTTACAAATTATCACAAATTCAAGTTAGTAACTTTTCTAAATTAAAGGCTTTTTTTGAATATAACATCCTTTTTTGTTAAGAATTAGATAAAAGATTTTTTAAAGAACAAGGAATCTTTCATTATGAATGGAAAGATAAAACCCTTTTAAATTCCGAAATAAATCAATAGAAAAACTGGTTACGAAGTCATTCTCAATATAATTTACCTCAGATTGCATGGGCTAGATTAGTAACCCAAAAATGGAAAAAGAAAATAAACCAAGACTCTCTCGTTCTAAATCCAAGTTTAAACAAAGTGGATTCATAGGAAATTTTTTTTTGATAATTACAAAAAACAAAATTTTTGTGAGGCTAACTTATTTTTCAATCCAAAACATAAACAGAATTTCAAAAAGGATTCTATATATAATCTTTTTTGCTACAAATCTATTCATTCTACAGAAATTTTTTTTGATATGTCTACAGGCCTAGAAAATTGTTTAGTCTCTTGTTTTCTAGAAAAATATAATATTCGGGGTATAGGGGAAATTCGGCATAGAAAATATTTGGATTGGAGAATTCTCAACTTTTGGTTTAGAAAAAAGGTAAATATTGAGTCTGATACTAAGAGTAAAAAAAAAAATATTAAGACTAAAGTTCATAATTATCAAAGAATTGATAAAATAACTAAGACGAGTCTTGTCAATAAAAAAATAAACCTTTTTGATTGGATGGGAATGAATGAAGAAATACTAAATCATCGTATAACAAATTTTGACTTTTTTTTTCCAGAAGTTTTCTTATTTTCTAGAGCTTTTTAATTTCAAATGGTTAGTCCTTAAAGCATAACAATAAATATATATATATATATATATATATATATATATATATATACTTTTTTTTTAAAAAAAAAGAGAGGCTTTTATTTTTCACAATAACCAATATACTGTATTGTTTTTGCATGAGTTCATGAAGTGTGACCATAACAAAGAAAGATCAAACTTCACACATTTCTTTCTTTCTCAAAAAACAATATTTCTTTATAGTTTATTATATTTATAAAAAATAGATCAAACAAGTGGAGTTAAATCGTTCCTCTTGAATGTTATTATTAATAAGTAGCTAAAATTAAATTGAATTGAAAAGGAAAAAAAATTGGAATCGAATAATAATGAAATTTATGGGTTGTTCATTGCATTACTTTCCATTGGAAACGAAAATTAAATGTTTTTGTCAACTGTAAAATGAAAAATATTTATCATTTACAAGAAAAAGATAAATTATAGCATATACAATAATAAAAGGGAAATACAAACAAAGGAGAGGTTGTCCACGTCTGCAGAAATAATCGGCCAATCAGAGTGTTGAGTTTTACCATGTCAGCACTATTCTTTTTTAAACTAAAAGATGGGTTAATATAAAGGAAATACAAGCAAAAGAGAGGTTGTCCACGTCGGTAGAAATAATCTGACCAATCAGAATGTTGAGTTTTGCCAGCACAATTTTTTAAAAAATAGCTCGGTATTCGAGCAAATAAAATGCACTCTATGGTTATGAATGGGAGGGGCAGGACAAGGGCAGATCATGCCGTTCTCCTGCAATATGTTTACCATTCACCATTTTTTGTTTGTAAAAGCAGTTCAAGCGGGAGATCTGCATTCAGTTCAATTTTTTTGTCTTTTAGTAGAAAAAGCAGGAGATCTACATGCAGATCTCATCCACTAAGGCTTCGAATGGGTAACACAGATCAAAAAATGTATATCAAACTGAAATGCAGATCAAGCAGGACAAATGCTGGTCATGCACATCAAGCAGAACAAATGCAGATCAAACTATTTTAATAAATTATTATATTTAAATAAATGTTGATTTTTTAATGAAATTAAATAACTAAACATAATACATCTGATTATAAATAAGTAACAAATATCATGTTGACAAAAGTATCAATAAATACCATTAGTTTAATAAGAATAGTAAAAAATAAATGTATATGCAAGAACAAGAAAAATGTTTGATATTTTAATGGTATTAAGTAATCTATTATATGCAGTTAAATTATGAATTATCAAATATGAAACTATATCCATACATTTATTAAGGGGGATTTGCCAAAACCAACCTAAAATTTCATTTCAACCCTAAAGGTGTACCCCTTATTGAGTCAAATGCAAAACCAACCTAAAGGGGTTATGAAGTTACTACTTAACCCTTGTGACCAAACAAAAAAACAGACAGTTATTTTACGATTCTGTCCTTCGTAGGTCTACACTTTAAGAAAGAAGTCTACAACTAGGTAGACTTACATTAACGTCTACTGTGTAAACTAATGTAGACTTATTATTTAGTCTACATCTTAATTTAATCAAATAATTTAATTTTTAAAATGTAGAAAAAATGTTTTTGGTAATTTTTTTAATAAATCATCAATTTAAAGGTTAGTATGAGGTAGATAAATTAAATTTTCTTATAATTGAACAATTTTAAAGAATGTATATTGATTTGGGAACTATGTGGTACACAATATTAATGGTTTAGCAACCAAAGGTTCTAACATGTTATGTCTTTTAGAGTTAGATTATAAGGGTTAGATTCTAGATTTAGAATTATTTTGTTTTAATGATTCAAAATTGCATATTTAATGTTGAGTAGTTTATATTTTGTATATATGATATTTGGTACAATGACTAAGATTTGTTTTATAATCAATCAAACGTTTAGGGTTTGAGATTTGGGGTTTAGGGTTTGAGATTTCTGGTTTAGGGTTTAGTAGACTTATAGTTAAGTCTACTGATATGTAGATGTCTATTTCAGTCTACGTTAATTTGTGTTTACCAAAATAAATTATTTTAAAATTAAAATTAACTAAGCGGGAAATGAAAATGAATTTTGGAGCCTATTTTTTCATATTGGCGCCAATATTTAGGGTATAGTAGACTTACACTAAAGTCTACTTATATGTAGACGTCTATTTCAGTCTACATTAATTGGTGTTTATCAAAAAATATATTTTAAAATTAAAATTAATTAAGCGGGAAGCGAAAATAAATTGTGGAGCCTATTTTTCCCTATTGGCGCCAATACTTACGGTAAACTCTACTACGTCTCTTTTAGTCTACTATAATTGGTGATTACAAAAAAAAATTAAAATTAAATTTATTTATTTATGAATTAAAATGTGAATTAAAATTTTATCAACAAAAAATATATACTAACTCTACTAAATATATAATGAAAATAAAAATTTTAGATTATATATTATAAGCTATTTAAACAATAAAGAAAAATATTATAGTAGACTTCTTTGGAAGTCTACCTAACCTAAAATTTTAACCAAATAATTTTAACCAAACTAAAATTAAACCAAAGAGTTTTAACCTAACCAGAAAAAGGACTTGACATATAAATACTCTTTTTATTAAAAAAAAGGCTAAAAAAAAAGAGCCGCCTCTCTCTCTCTCTCGCCTCCAAGCTTCAGATCTGTTGAGTACACAGCCATCACTTGCAGATCCCACAGCGCCTCAATAACAGACTTCGGTGGCGTCAGAGACGGCAAAACACTGAACACAAAGGCTTTCCAGAGCGCCGTAGATCATCTCAGGGTTATGAGTAGGCTGCCACCTCGAGTCGAGAAACAGGGGCGGCCTTTTAGGCTAACCGGAAGTTTCAGCCTCACAAGCCATTTCACTCGGTTCCTTCACAAAGACGCTACTCTTCTCACTGCTCAAGACTTAGAAGAATACCCAATTCGAAAAGCTTTACCTTCTTACAGGAAGAGGATGCTTTAAACAGATTCAGGCGGAACGTGGTGTCTATGGCGGCTGAGCTGAAGCAAGTGAAAGTAAGCCCCTTTGATTATTCTCTGATTGTTCTTTCTTTTGGATTGTGTCTTTGTGGAGTCAATTTTGCAGCTGATTATTCTATGCAGCTGGGGTGTTAATTCACAAAAAGTTCTTTTCTTTTGCAGATAATCTTGAAAGGGGTGCTTAAGTTAACCTGCTTGGTCCTAACGTGTCCTAAATTTTATAATAACTTAGGAGTTTGATGTTTAGTTGTTTACTCAGGTACTACAATACTATCTAAGGTTCTAACTGATTCAAGACAATGTCAAGATATGTGTCTAGCATGGTCGAGAGAGGGTTTGGGATTCTAACAACTTCTTAAGAGTTTTCATAAGCACAGAGTGTATAAAGTTCCTTTGCATTGCATTAGCGTTACCCAGTGTCCATTGTCAGTTCATTTGCACTCATACTAGTCAAAACAGAGTAAGTTATACAGAAAATTAGCACTCCAAGTTACTATATGTTTTTAACCTTTCTTAAACAGGTTTGGAGAGAAGCTGGCGCCATAAAGAAACCATTTAAATATGGTATGATAGGAAAATGTTTGCACATTTACAAGGACTCTCTAACTTTGCCATCATTCTTTTTTGCAGGGAATTTTTTTTGGTTTGTTTTTAACTTTGCATGTATGCTTCATCATGATCTGCATCTTTTCACTACACTACGCTCTTGTGATTACTACTATTTATATCACTTGCATATTTTACATTTTGTGTTACACCTTTTACTTGTTTTATCCACTCATTAATTAGCCCCTGACATTCACATTAGATTATTGAGAAGGGTCGTTCTGTTTCCTTCTTGGCTTGTGTTTTGTGTGTGAACTTGCATGTTTTACTTCTCTTAACACCTTTGCTTGTGTCATGCACTCATTATACATTAGATTACTAGGAAGGGTCACTCTTTTCCTTTGTATTTGAACTTGCATGTTCGCTTCTTTTCTTGTCTTTAAGATGTGTATATGATGTGAATACTAATCTCCATGGTCACATTTTTTTTCCAGCTGAGAAACTTGCTGTGGGCGACATCAAAACACGATGTGTATTTCATGAAGAACTACTCCCTCACGCATTGGTCATCTTTGCTTCAAAGAAGCAAAGAAGTACTTAACGTGGCAAAGCCCATTGTTCCTACGATGGTAAGAACCTTTACTTGTAATATCACTTCTTCATAAACCTAAAACTTCAAACTAAGTTAACTTATATGGTACTTCAATCTTCAGAAGCAGCAAGGATTGTTATCACAGTCTATATCAAGAGTCCAGATAAGCACCATGGCAGTTAAAGACGATTTGATAGTTGCTGGAGGGTTCCAAGGAGAGCTTATCTGTAAGGTATTATTAACACACAATTAAGTTTAATACAATGAGTGATTCTCACTCGGTGTCATCTTCTCTATAGAGAATCAACGAACCTGGAGTTGCATTCTGTACTGTTCTAACATCAGTTGAAAACGACATCACAAACTCTGTTGATATATACAACGCACCAAGGTACTTAAGAACCTATACTAAACAGAACATATAACATTAGTTGCCTTCTAACTCAAATACTTTGGTCTCTTAATACATGTAGTGGCTCATTAAGAGTTATCACCGGGAACAATGACTGCACCGTCCGTGTACTTGACGCTACAAACTTCACCTTCCTCAATAGTTTTACCTTTGACTGGTCGGTAAATGTAAGTGAGCCACTTTTTGTTACTTACACATACCAATGTTTTTCAAAAGTATTTAAGTGTTTATTTATTATCTTTATTAGAACGTTACGGTGAGTCCAGACGGGAAGCTAGTAGCTATCTTAGGAGACAGTCCCGAGTGTTTACTAGCCGATGCTGGATCAGGTAAAGTAATCCACAGTCTCCAAGGCCATCTCGACTACTCGTTTTCATCAGCATGGCATCCAAATGGTTTCTGATCCCTAAACTTAGAAACCATTGCATCAGGTAACTCTTAGTTGGTTTCTTCTTTTTGTTTTGGAACATTTAAATGACTATAGAATGGAGACTTAATATGTTCATTTCCAAGTACGTTGGTTCAAAATCTACATAAGATAAATGTAAAAGAGTGAAGGGTTGGGTTTCTTTGTAGCTGGTTTTATAATATGTTTNCGAAAGAACCCGAAACTTTAAAATTCCAAAAAAACTTGTATCATATCCAATCTAAATTTCTAATATGTTTCCAAAACAGATTAATATATTATTGAGTACCTACAATAATTAGTTATGATATAAATAATTAACTCAAATATTTAGTCTAATATATAGTGTTATTTGGTTAATATTAATGTTTATGATTGACATTACATTTGAAGTTAAGTTACGAGTAAATTTGTTTTGAAGTTTATAAAATATTGTTTTTAAAAGTTTAAATAGCACTTCTTATGTTTATAGAATTGTTAGTTGTTAACTTTAATTTTTTATGTTTCATTATGTATTATATTTCGTTCATACAAGGCTTCAGTTTGTCATTAATCATGATATGTTTAGTGTTGTCATATATAGTTCATTGACAAATCTTATATGGTTGATAGATGAGTTTCACAATATTATTTTGAAGGAGAACAATATGGTTTGTAGAAGCTAAATACACAAATTTAATAAAATGATTGAAAATATAGTGAGTTTAATTGAGTATAAATTAGTATTTTTAGAACCGATAACCCGATTAGTATCTGAAACCGAAACTATTTCGGGTTCAACCGGATCTTGGACATGTTACTAAACCCGAACCGAACCCGACTAAACCCGAACCGAATCCGACCCAAATTTTTATAATATCCGAATGGGGCTGAAATTCATGAACCCGAAAACCCGAAACCCGAATGAACCCGAACCGAAACCCGATTGGGACCCCGATTGCCCAGCCCTAATTGTAGCCATAAAAAAGTGATGTTACTTATTAGTCTTCTTTCGTGTAGACTTATTTGTATAGACTTGTGTAATCAATTTTTTTAAGAAACCTAAAATAAAAGACTACTATTGGAGCCATAAAAAAAGTGATGTTACTTATTAGTCTTCTTTCGTGTAGACTTATTACTTGACAAAGAAAAATATAACATAAGTCTATCACAAGTTCAACACAGACTAAAGACCTACAAATCCAATAGAAGACAACTCAAAGCAATGAAACACTAATACACAACTCATAAGTTCGACACATAACACTAACACATCAAGAGTTTTTCACCACCCATTCTCTGTATACAATGAGTAATTGAGCCATCTCCTACAAAAAAAAAATATGGTTTACATAATTAGCAAACAAAAATTTCATGTTTGATAAAATTATAAAATAGATTTACAAGTACATCTACAATTATTAGCAAACAATATAGTTAAACCAAAAATTATATCATAGACTTACAAGTACGTCT